ACTCATTAAAGCTTGTCTTAACTGACTAGCTAAACTGTGACTTAGAATATGTGCTATTTACCCTATAATTAGGACACTGACTTACTAGAACAAAAATGTTACTACTTTTTTATTCTCATAAGGGGCTTTACAGCTGCAAAAATATAATCAGAGTCATAAAGAAGAAATTACTAATTTTGGCACAGAGGCTAGAAAATTGAAGTTTTATAATATTGAAAAGCACAAGGGAGTGTGAAATGATGGAATAAATCTATTAAAAAAAAATAAAGAATTAACTTCTTAGGGGTTTTGCTCCCAAAAATCAAAAGCTTGTTGCATAACTAAAAGTGATTTTAGCAAGAATATTAGATTTTCTGTTCAATAAAGTATCCTACATATTTTAAGAATAATGAATATGCAAACTAGATTATACTAGACCCTTTTAATATTTCACAGTAATATATACCACTTATATTCCTTTTTATATTCTTTTCATTTTCATAAAATCTCTCTGACCTTTGCTAACCCTAATTTAAGCTCCTGATCCTTAATATCTGGGGTAGATTCAAGGTCAAAATACATTTCATGTCATGCCTAATGCAACAGAGTGACATATATCTGAAGAAACAAATCATTTCAAGATTTAAGTTAGCAAAGACTTTTTTACATGTATACTCATTTAGATACAGAAACTAAAATATTGAGTCATAAAGTCAGTGTAGTTTAAATTAGGGGCTAATTTTCTCACCTGAGATAAAGTAATTCTAGTATGTTTCTCTATATAGTAACAGTTTTTCAATTATAGTCAAATTTTAAAAGTCATTTTTAATATATGATATACCACAAATCGCCTTACAAATTTTACTTTGTTGCTATTTCCAAAATATGTCATTTCTAATAAAATGTATCATAACTATAAACTCAATAAGAAAGTTGTACACAGTGTCTGATCATTTTCATTTACAAATTAAACATTTGTGCTCCCTTCCAATTTTTGGTAACAAGTCAAATAAGTTAAAACCTCTAAAAACATATCTCAAGCTATTTTAACCAAATAAACTTTAGATCTTAGTGGATTACATAATTATGTTATATATAATATTTAAGTGGAAAACATATAAATATATATAAATTGACACTTTAATATTTTATATGGTTATTTAGTAGAATAACTGATTTTTGAAGTAATTTATTCAAATAGGATAACCATTAATATAACAGTATATATAGCATGGTGGCTAAGGGTATGGCCACTAGACCCAGACTGCCTCAGTGAAATTTTAATGTTAGCACCTGCCTACCAGCAAGACTTTGAATACATTGCTCACTTCTCTGTGCCTCAGTGTCCTCATTTGGGAACATAATAGTGAGTGCCTGATTAGGTTACATGAGGCTCAGTTGAATTGATAAAGAATTTGCACCCGTACCTGCAACATCATAAGTACTAGCTTTTACTGGCAAAATCTGAAGAGCAAAGGCATCCTAACTTTTTATCGTGAAAATGTTGTAGTGTATATTTCTTTATTTTTTCCCATCTTTCATTATTCCTTTTTATTTTCTTCCAAATTATATTAGACATTATTTTTTTCATATTCTAATTCTTGGCATACTTCAGCACTAATCTGATATTGGAATATCATTTTTCCATAGGCTTTCTCCTTTTATCCATATAATTCTCTGTGACAGCACACTAAAAGCTTCTCATTCTGGGGGTGAAGCTGAGCAGAATGTGGAGGACAAGATCTTTCAAAAACACTGCAGTTTACTTTCACTTGTGACACCCTTCCACCACTTTACTTGTATGAATCTCTAATTTGCAATGTATGTACTGAACCATAGGTCCTTTAAACAAATGTTTGAGAGGTCTGTGAATAGTACAGTAGAAACAAGGAGAGCTACTGATACTCTCACGGCTCATTTTGGTTTGTCTTCCTTATCTATATGAAAGGGGACCATAAAGAGAGGTTGAATTAGTTTCAATAGAGCCCTAAGCATTTTCTATGGTGTTTTTTGAATTACTGCTCAACAGTTCAGTACAGTTAAAATAAATAAGTAAATTAAATGTAAGAGAATGAACTTGTCAACACCTTAGATTATAATTCTGATTTTAACAAATTCCATTGTATTAATGCACATAATATTGATGCTGCGTTGTAAACATTTAGGCCCGTAAAATTATTGAAGGACTGTAGAATGACAGAGAATCACAGAATAAACTTAAGATTAGAAAACACTTAATGCTTCCTGCCTCAAGTGTGATGCTAGACTTGAGGCCAAATCTTACTTGAGGCAGGAATATTTTTCTACAGCATCTAACCTTTGTTCTACATTTCCAGCTTGAGGAAATTCACTACTTCACTGTGTTGGAGAGCTCTAGATCTTAAACGTTCCTTTATATTAAGCTTAAGTTTATCTTCTGTCCCTTCCATAAATTCCTAAATGCTGTCATGACAGTCCTTCGGGCATTAGAAGACAGCTAGCCTTAATCCATCTTTACCCTATTCTTCAACTGCTTCTCCTTTCTAGGTTCAAAATCCTCAGCTCCTGTCACTACTTCTCAAATGGTATTGTGCCCAGGCATCTCACTTCTGGATGGTCACTAATTTGTAAACTTTTCTTTGAGGTCAGGAGATCAAGGCCATCCTGGCTAACATGGTGAAACCCCGTCTCTACTAAAAATACAAAAAAAAAAATTAGCCGGGTGTGGTGGCGGGTGCCTGTAATCCCAGCTACTCGGGAGGCTGAGGCAGGAGAATGGCGTGAACCCGGGAGGCGGAGCTTGCAGTGAGCCAAGATCGCGCCACTGCACTCCAGCCTGGGCGACAGAGCGAGACTCTGTCCCAAAAAACAAAACAAAAAAAAGAAATCAATCTTCTCACGCCTGTAATCCCAGCATTTTGGAGGCCAAGGTGGGCAGATCACTTAAGATCAGGAGTTCGAGACCAGTCTGGCCAACATGGTGAAACCCCATCTCTACTAAAAATACAAAAATGAGCCAGGTGCGGTGGTGGGAACCTCTAATCTCAGCTACCTGGGAGCCTGAGGCAGGAGAATCGCTTGAACCTGGGAGATCGAGGTTGCAGTGGGCCAAGATCATGTCACTGCACTCCAGCCTGGGTGACAGAGTGAGAACCCATCTCGGGAAAAAAAAAGAAATCGAGCTTCATTTGTGCATCAGTGAATCAAATATTAATCATGCAATGTCATCCATATTACTTAGTGCTGTAACAGGTGTAGACCTGCTGCAATAGACAACAGAAGTGAACAAACTATTTTGAAATCAGTGTTCTGAGGGTGTACTGACTGGATATTAAGTGTAAGACAGAGCTGGAAGGAAAAAAAAAGCCAGCTGAAGGTGACAGGAGAAAGCAAAGTATATAGTGATAAGGATCCGGACTCCATAGCAATGGAAGAGGAGTGGAGTGAATAATTATATGAGATGTTTCAAAGGAAAAGCAACAGGATTTAGAAAACCGAGTAAATGCTATGTGTAAAGGGAGAATGATTCAAAGCATACTTCATGCTTGGAAGCATGAGTGACTGATAAAAATGTTACTACTATTGTCAGAGATTGTGGGATAAAGAACGAATTTGCAAGCAAAAGGGAGAAAATGATGAGTTTTCTTGCATTTGGGGCAAAATGAAGACATCTGTTTAGAAATCTTCCTTAGAAATTTAGACATATGGGACTAGAGATTTATGTAGCTGGGATTTATCTGAGAAACCATCAGATTCAAGACAATAATTATAGTCCAAGAACTGATGATTAGTCTGATGGACAGACTGACGAGAAATGTAACAAAAGACCTGGGACTAAGCTTTGAGGAGGTATGGCACAGTTCATGCCAGAAAGCTTGGAGGAAGTATAAAAGAAGCAGATCTTTAATGCAAGTCACATGTAGAAGACATTAGTAAGCTTATATATTTAATATTCTGGAAATGTTGACTAGATGAGTAGTAATAGTGACTGTAGGAAATTGAGTCTGAATTTTTAAAAACTTGTTTTGTTGGGCTCAAATTCTAAAATTCTACATTTGTTTTTATCCTTAGAGTTTCTGAAGACCACAGCATGTTGAAAAAAAGAAAATGTACTCATTTTTGGCAGTCACAACCATATATTCTTTTTAAAAGTAAATATTAATTTAGTAAGATTAAGAATTAGAAACAACTCATTATAAGAAAATGTGGACTTATAATATGTTTTTGTTTTAATACTGTAGTCACTAAAACGTGAAATTCATGAGACCCAAATATCCAGATGAAAAGAAACCAGCCATCTGAATGATTTTGTCTGTATAATGCTTACAATCTAGATGGACCCAGATGATTGGTAACATTCACAATTTTCTGTGGAATACTGAATTTTTTTTGCTAATCAGGTTTTTTTTAGAATTGTTTTTAATTTTGTGCTTAATTTTAATTATATGCTTATGATTGAGAGTACAAAATTCCAAAAGCATATGAAAATTAACATTTGCCAGCCACATGTTGTGGCTCACATGTGTTATCCCAGCACTTTAGGAAACTGAGGTGAGAGGATTGTGTGAGTCCAGAAGTTCAAGACCAGCCTGGACAACATAGCAAGACTCTGTCTCTGCAAAAAATTTAAAAGTTAACTGGGTAGGTAAGGTGGCGCACGCCTGTAGTCCTAGCTACTCAGGAGGTGGAGGCCACAGGATGGCTTAAGCTCAGGAGTTTTAAGCTACAGTGAGCTATAATAGCACTACTGTACTCCAGCTGGGTGACAGAACCTGTCTCAAAAAAACAAACACACTCACACACACACAAAGAACATTTAAGTGTTTTAGGTGTTCTGGAATTTTAGGAGACCTCTCTTTGAATATTGTACTTCTTTATTTTTCTTCAAAAGTACCTCCTTGATTATATGTTTGTGTCTATCTATGTAGATATAGATATCTTTTCACTGTTCTGGGGGTGGGGGAGAGTTTATATGCCACTGTATAACATTCTCATCAAAATGATCTCCCTCAATGATTTTGTGTATATGTGTGTGTGTTCAGCCACAATTCCTTCCGAAGACACCTGCCGAGGCAAATGCAGGTTTCCAGTGTTGATTTTAGCATGGGCACGGAACCTGTTTTACAAAGAGGAGAAACAACAACCAGCATTGGGAGGATAAAGCCAGAACTCTACAAACAGAGATCAGTTGACTCTGAGGGCAACCAAAAAGAAGATGTCAAAACCTGTGGGAAACTTAACTTTACCCTCCAGTATGATTATGAAAATGAACTTCTAGTTGTTAAAATTATCAAAGCCTTAGATCTCCCTGCTAAAGACTTCACAGGAACTTCTGACCCTTATGTGAAGATGTATCTTCTTCCAGACAGGAAAAAGAAATTTCAGACCCGCGTGCACAGAAAGACTTTAAATCCTCTATTTGATGAAACTTTTCAATTTCCTGTAGCATACGATCAGCTAAGCAACCGAAAACTACATTTCAGTGTATATGATTTTGACAGATTTTCTAGACATGACATGATTGGGGAAGTGATTCTTGATAATTTGTTTGAAGTCTCTGATCTCTCCAGGGAAGCCACAGTATGGAAAGATATTCATTGTGCTACCACAGTAAGTAGTAATTCCACCAATATATTGGTTTTTATTTGACTTACAATGATATATGACTAATTATTACCCAAATTATTGGGATAAGTCTTACAGAGTTATAGAATTTATGTCTAAGATCCTGCAAAGGTAGGATTTCATTTCCACTACTAATAATTCAGTCACCTAATGCTGAATATATTGGTAACCCTAGTGATTGTGTAAATAAAAAAACAACTCTTATAAATTAACAGAACTTGTAGACTATTTCTCCTTTAAAATATTTATCTGTAATATAAATATCCTATCTACAGCACCCAGTTTCCTCATAGTTAGTATTGGTTTTCATTATTTAAGATAATTTTGTTAATTTCATTATTTTAGAAATTATTTCACTCTTTAAGAATAATGACTTCATTATTTAAGATAATTCATCAAATCAAACCTAAAATGTACTTTGATGCTATTTGAAAAGTCCTTGGTTTGATATGAAACAACCCATTACTTCACAAGCTTTCATAGAATACACACAATTACAATATATGAAATGATCAATGATCAAGAAGTAATCATTGTTTACATTAAAACTTTTCTTTTTCATTACAAAATGCTTTTTCTGATTATAAAATAATACCAACTTCAGTACTGAAAATTTTAAAGACAGAGTAAAAACACATAACATAAAATTAAAATAATCTACAGTGCTACCAATTATATATAATATTTTGGCATATTGCTTTCCAACTTTTTGCAATGCGTAATTTAGAATATTAAGACCATACTAAGCTTAATTTTTTTCACACCAATTTTCTTTCATTCTGTATTCGTTTTAGCGCATGATGTTGAAATACATGATCCATTTACTTAACCATTTTCTTACTGTTAGACACTTAAGTTAGGCATAAATTTTGTTATATGAAAAATTGTGTTCTTTTTTTGTAAATCTGGTTTTTTCAAGATTATTCGTCCAGTATAGAATTATAGAAGTGGAATTAGAGAAGTGATCTCTTAAGTTAGATTGCTTGCTTTAGTTTATTAGCTTTTAAATGGGGACATTTAATTTTTTATCATCAGGTTGTTTTTACATATTTACCATCTTTTGTTTGAGTTGTAATACATCTTATAAGTTTAAAGCATTGAAGTTTTGAACAGAGACAAGGGATTATTTAAAACATAAGGATACTTTTGTATTCAAAATAGGTCCCTTTGTGTTTTTCCAGTTATGAATGTTTTACTAATTACAATCAGTATGTGGGAGAATTATATTGTCATTGTAAATTATGTGGATAAATTAATTTGAAACTTTATGCTGCCAGTTCAATATTGTATTCCAGCATCATAACATTTTTAGTTGTTGAATTTTTGTGTCATAATCTCTATTATGATACCTGTTAGGGAACAAAGAAGGAATTTTGAAAGTGGATCATATTTCAAATGCACAGTGGGGCTCTTTTGATTTCACATTTGTGTTCATTTTATTACCTATATTCCCACAGGGAAAACATGATGAATACTGATTTTTATTGTTTTTAAAAATAACACCTTCTAGAATTCTACAAATGCCGATGGCAGTTAATTGTTAGATTATTTCTCTTGATTCCTCAGTCTTATTATTACTTTTTATTTATTCAACAAATATTTACTGAGTACCTATTTATGTTTGGCACGCTCTAAGTCCTAGGGTTGCAACAAACACATTTTTTAATTAAAAAGTGAAGTATGTTCTGTACATATATTCAGGCTCAGAGGCATATAATCTGCCAATAAAATCTAAAAATTAGTATAATCGACTAGGAGATTGACAGTGAATTTTTTTTTTTTAACATTCATACGTTTTCCAAACTGGTTCTACTTAGAAAAAAGTAGGATTCCTTATGGAAACTTTAGTTTCTCATTGCCAATAATATTTATTCATTGTTTGTTAATATTAATAAATTACTTAAATTTATTTTCAACTTTCCCATATGGCTTGAATGTTAGTTTTTACTTCTGTTATAAAAATTACCACAAATTTATCTTACACAATTGGTTAGAAACCTTTTATAATTTGGTTAGAAATACAGTTTGGTTAGAAATTACCACAAATTTAGTCTTACACAAACATTTTACAGTGTAGTTAGAAACCTGACATGGTGCCAGGTGCAGTGGCTCATGCCTGTAATTCCCAACACCTTGGGAGGCTGAGGTGGGTGGATCACGAGGTCAAGAGTTCAAGACCAGCCTGGCCAGCATGGTGAAACTCCATCTCTACTAAAAATACAAAAAATTAGCCAGACATGGTGTCACATGCCTGTAATCCCTGCTACTCGGGAGACTGAAGCAGGAGAATTGCTTGAACCTGGGAGGCGGAGGTTGCAGGGAGCAGAGATCGAGGCCACTGCACTCCAGCATGGGCGACAGAGCAAGATTCTGTCTCAAAAAAAAATAAAAATAAGAATCTGACATGGATCTTACTAACTAAAATGAATGTGGTTGACAGGGCTGCATTCTTTTCTGGAGGCTCTTGGGGAGACCCATTTTCTTGCTTTTTCCTGATTCTAGAGGCCACAGGCATTCATTGCCTTATATTGAGCCCAGTGGATAATCTAGGAAAATCTCCCCATCTCAAAGTCCATAATCTTAATCACATCCACAAAGCCCCTTTTGCCATTTAAGTAACATTACTCACAGATTCCAGGAATTAGGGTATGCCCATCTTTGGGGCTACCTTTATTCCACCTGCCACCTCTGCAGACATTCTCATTTCAGAATTCTGAATATAAAAAGAAGTTGGCAGAAAATAAAACGTATTTTTAGATTATTCTAATAAAAGAGCATTCTCCTTTAACTAGAATATTGAACCACACATTGTTCGGAATATTGCTTCTGGATTTTTGTTTGGAAATATAGTAATGAAACCTGAATTTCTAGACCATGTGGCCAAATATTATGGTTAGGGTAGTATTTAATTAAAATTTCTGTTCAGCCTTTGAAAAATCATTAAGCAATGTTACATCTTCTTATTAGTAAAAATGAAAAAAAAATGATGTAGGTGGAAATTTCATTAAGAAACTTTCTTTTTCTATTCACACATCATTAATTTTTAAGAATTTCATGCAGAAATTATTGAGTCTTCTAGAAAAATTGAGAATAAGAGGAAAGAAATAAAAAGCAATGTAGGATATGCTCTCACTTGTTTAAGTCTTGTGGAAACCTACAAAGGCAAATCAAACTGTGCAGACACAGATATAAAAGAGTTTATGTAACAAATAAAATAAATACTGGATTAAAAGACTATTGGCTGGGCACGATGGCTCATGCCTGTAATCCCAGCACTCTGGGATGCCAAGGTAGGTGGATCACCTGAGGTCAGGATTTTGAGACCAGCCTGTCTAACATGGTGAGTGAAACCCCGTCTCTACTAAAAATAAAAAATTAGCTGGGCATGGTGGCACACAGCTGTAGTCCCAGCTATTTGGGAGGCTGAGGCAGGAGAATCATTTGAACTGGGAGGGGGAGGCTACAGTGAACCAAGATGGCGCCACTGCATGCCACCCTGGGCAGCAGAGTGAATCTCTGTCTCAAACAAACAAAAAAAACTATCAGATTAGAAGACGATGACAAATATAAATATTCTTTTAATTCTTATAACTTTGTAAGAACTCTTATAACTAAAGTTTTTATTTGAAATAATCATTTATGAGATTTTTAAAGAGTGCCTTTATATAATTGCAAATCTCCAATTTAATTTAAACCAAAATTTACTGGGGAAAAAAAAATACCATTTTGCTATCAGTTTGAAAAGCACTAGCTGGTGTATCTTTAATTTTTTATGATTCTTCTTAGAATCATTAAGACTTGCTTTATTATCATATTGTTGTAAATGCCATGGCTGTCTTTTTCCTTCTTCATGCTAATTATATAATTATATCTCATAATTGTTGCAGAGAAGACTCAGTGAAAATCAGACCTAGCGGCTTTTGTGATTGTTGTTTTTAAGGGTCTTAAGTGTCGCATTCCCACAAATTTTCATTACAGAGTCTCTATCATGTTTTTTTCCACAGGTGCAAAGGCCTGTCCAAGGCCTTAACCAAAAAAATCTTCCTAGAACAGTTCATCCCCCAAAATTTTCTGTTCTACAGCATTTGATTCAAATAACTTTAATTTGATTAAATATTTACTGAGAACTTTCTATGAATGAAGTTTATATTTAGTTCTAAAACTGAAAGACTAGTAAAATACAAGTTTTACGCAAGGACTTTAACAAAGGAGACAAACAGCAAGGAAATAGAGTATATGCCTCAGTGTAAATTATTATATAACCGTTTCCTGATAGCCTCCACAAATGTGGTCTTGTCTACACACTTTTTGGTACTGACTGTATCCCATATGAAAATATTTCAGATTGCCTTTCCATGATGATAGATTTCTGAAGAAAAGAGTTGGGTGATTCTCAAAGAAAAAAAACAGCATGAGGAAAAGGAAATAAACGGGACTGTAACATGTTTTCAGGGGGCAGAAAAGTAAAGTGTGAATATGAAATGAAGAGACTAAAGGGAACCCAAACTAGAATGTTATATTTTATCTATAATCAAGAGGACATTTAATGTCATAGGAGCTTCTATTTATTCTGTTTTTTATTAGAAGAGTGAAATCAGTGAAGCCATTACCTCATATGGCAACCCGTGTGTACAATGGATCAGAGTGGGAGATTGTGAAATGTGGTGCTCAGTAGGAATGTAACATCACAGACTAGATGAGATGAGCAAAGCCTTATTGAGGCTGGTAGCAACGAGAATGGAAAGAAGCTAATATATGCTAATGAAAGCATTGTCTGCTGCACTTATTTAAACATTCTGCAGATGTTTGTCTTATGTCTGCCACTAGCCTCTCAGCTTCTGGAAAGCAGAAATCATCTTGTATATCTCTTGCATCCCTTACGTAATATGAGCGCTTAGTGGTTAATGAATAAATGCTTTTTGAATAAATAACATAGCAAATTTTCATATGGGGTTAAGTATAGAGTTGTATAAATACAGATCTGC